GGAGCAGACAGCACTTGGGTGCTGGTGGCTGGGCTCCCACAGTGTGGCTGGGTAGGAGGAAGGACAGCACACAACAGTTCCACTATTCCACTCTGGAAAAGGAATCCTGAAGCATACACGGTGTCACCAAAACATTGGGGACAAAAATGAAAGCTTGTGGAATTATCGCCCCAAAACTTCATGCAAAGGAAATGTAAGTTAGGTAGATGTATCCTACTAATTCCTACATTTAGAGCCTCCAGAATCCTTGGCTGCTCTCAAATTTACATTGGGCACTGATTAGAGCACCTAAATATGCTTCTGAATGATGCTCCTTTCATTTTCCCCCATTTGTGAATGCAGGCAAGTTCCCCTTGACTAGGGGGATAAAACTGGCCTATATTTTGCATTAGAATCTAACTGAAAAATATTCGGGCTAACAAGTTTCAGGCTATTACCTTACACAGGCATCAGACCTGCTCATTTTGCAACGTCTTGGCTGCAGGAGCCATTATCTGAAACAACTTTGTCAGGTTGTGGTGTTGAGTTATGAAGACACACAGCACTGCCACAGCTTTGCAATATCAGAACAGCATCTGAGCCTTCATTTCATAAATGCTAGCATGAAAAATAATATTCCTAATTAACTGATGCTCTTATTTTCCCTAGGGATTCTGTTTCCCATGTCCACAGGAGGGATGTCCAATGATGGGGCACTATGCTGACAGATTCCCAGAAAAATTGAACAGAGTAGACCAAAAGTATTTTTTAAATACAGCAGCAGATGAGCCTTTTGCTAGTAAGTGGAGAAGGTTTGTTACAGTTGTTCACAAGTTTGAAAAGTGCCTTTATGTGATTTACAGCCCTGCACCTGTGCTGCTTCTATAAATAACTGCTAATAGTCTGACATAAAATGCTATATTACTTGTGCAATGTAGCATTCAAGCTCACCAATGATAGTCTGGATTTATTTTTGGCTTTATTTATGCAGCTTGGAGACAAAAAGTGTTTATCAAATTGTCTGGTGTAAAGAAAACGAGGGGAGACATAAACCTGGTTTACTACGACAGACAGGGGAACTCAAAAGAATATGAAGTCGCCAGGTAAGTTAAATTAATATTTTTCTACAGTATTTAATGCTGCTAGCATTAATCTACATGCTTTCCACGCATTTAAGTAGTGTTAACACTCATCCTGCATTGCAAATATTCTGCTTCACAGCAGATAGGAAAGAAGTTATTCCTTAATTAAGAAGCATGATGGTTGTAAAAAGGAAATGGAAGGCATCTCCATTTCCAGGAGTTCTGTGTTTCTGAACTCCAGCTGAGTGATCCCTGCAAACTCAGCACACACGGGCTCTGGGGACAGCCCCAGTCTCACTCCTGCCACCTCCCCATGGGCACATTTAAAGTGCTCAGTAATGATTTTCATCCTCTCCTCATTCAGAGCCCTAGTCCAAAGCCCTGTGCTCTTACAAAGAACACAAAAATGCAAATTTCTGTTGTAAAAAAAAAGGGAAGACATGAAAATATGTGGAGCATGTGATTTATTTCAGTGATCTCCAAACTGTTAAACTTAGTGAAGACATTTTTCCTTCTATTTGCAGTGGAGACCTCTCTCAAGATGATGTTTACACGCAGTATCTTGATGTTGAAATCAACCCCAAAAATACTACAAAAATTGAATTTCTCTGGAATAAAGCTGTATTCTCTCTGCTCTGGGCAAGACTGGGAGCAGAAAAAGTCAATATAATAGAAGGAGCAGATGGACGTAGGTAAGTGTAACCCATTTGGAGGTCAGAAGGCAAGAGAAAAAACCCTGAGAGAAAAGATGGAGAAATGGTCTTAAATTTGACACATGATTTGTAACCAACAATGTGCATTTAAATATGGAAAGATACAAGGCATTGCACTTTGGACAGAAAAAAATCAGAAAAATCAGATGTTTGACTATGCACCAGAGAATAACTGTCTGGAAAAGAATACAGCAATGAATAATTTGAAATGTTTAGCTTTTCCACAGCAAAGCAATTACAAACCAAGATAAAGGATATTAAACCTCAAATTTTACAGCCAAAAGAAGGAAATTCACCTTGTTATTGTTAGTAGCAGATGTTAATAATCTTTGCAGCAGGCTTTTAGGAAGCCTTCAGTGGGATTATGGGTTGGACTAACAACCCTCAAGGTGACAGCTGACAGCTGACAACCTTTTAATTTTTCATTGGGCAAAAAGAGATAAATCTTGATTCAAGCTTGTTTTTTTTTTCTTTTTCTTCCCAGGTCAACTTTTTGTGGCCATGGAACTGTGGCATATGGAGAGCCTCAGTTACTTACACCTTGCTAGAGGTCCCCAAGGTCTGTACACGGCAGCTGAGTAAACCCTCAGCCTTGTGCATGGAAATCTTGGCACAAAACACAATTAAACCAAGTTTTAAAAAACATGTTGTTCATTTTGGTTTTTTTTTTTTTAGTTCTTTGCAAACACACGTGTCAATGTTTCTCATGTTTGGGCCACATTTATTGTGCTTGTAACTATGGAGCCACCAGAAATCACGGATGATAAAATCCATTTAAAACTCTGCACAGTCTCACTCTATCTGTCCCTTAAGGCAAGAACCGAGTCCCACCACACTGACAGATAAATCTGGGATATTCTCAAACCCTCTCAAGGCAATATGTGTCCTCAGAACAGCCCTGCAGGTCTGAAACAGCTCCTTTCTGCAGCCTGGGCTGCTGTTGAGAGTTTCCCAGGAGCGCTGCCCTCGGGAGATGCTCTGGGAGAGGCAGGAGCAGCACAGGGCCGGGGGATTCCTGCAGCACCTGAGCCACCCTTTGTACCTGCACCTGCTGCTAAAGGCACACAAGGCAAACCTCAAGTGCTCCCACTTTGGAAGGAGCTGAACACCAAATCCCAGCCCCTGGATGCTGTTTTATTTCAAACACAAACATTCGCCGTGGCCACTGAGAGTCCTGAAGAGAAACTCTGAGTAACCAGGTTTGCAAAACCTGGGACTGACTATTTCACATTTAAAATGACCATTACTGCTCTGCAAGCATGAGTGAGCCTCCTGCAGCTGTAAGAGACCAAGGCAGTGGATTTTCCAAATATAAAACCCAAACTCTGAGCTAATGAAGAGGAAGAAAGAGTTAATAATTTATTTACTCACATTTTCCCATTTTGATAAATGACATACAAGCACTTGGGCAGGTAAAGTTCTAAGAAATAGGGGTGGAAATACTATGAGAACACATTTATGAGTATAGACATCTGAATGATTTTTTTTTTTAAGAAAAACTCCAGCCCTGTTGTAGTCTTGATTAAACACAAGTGTAAAAAACTTAAAAGCATAATTAAACACAAGTGTGAGGTTCAGCCAGAGAGACCTGCAGTTCTGAGTCCTGCAAGTCTCCTGGGGAACAGACACATGGCAAGGAAAACATGAACAATGCTGGGAAGCTCCAGGGTCCCAAGAGAGAGCCACAGCATCCTGAACACCAGAAATCCAGTCCTCTCCTCTGCCTGCTTCCTATTCCACACTACACCTTCTTCAGGACTGGAGAAACATAGCTGTGCATTAATTTATCTTTTTTTTTCTTTTTTAATCAAAACCCCTCCTTCTTCCAAAGCCTCCAGGTGTGGAGCCAGAGTATCTCCTCCAGGCACAGAGCAGCCTGCATGGTACTGAGGGACTGCATCCCAGCCCTGCCCAAAGGAGAAGCAAGCAGCTGAAATCCAACTGACCATGGCCTAATACATGTATTCTGTCTGACCTGTATTATTACAGTATTGAATAAGAGCAGACTAATGGATAAAATCCTAACTCAGATCTTTTACAGCTCTAAAATTAAGTAGGAAACACTGTTCCTCCCCTTGTTTTGAACAAGTGTTAAATCTTATCAGTGCACTGGGGCATATACTGATTCCACTGATCCAAACCTATTTACAAACCAAAATCCCACTTCAACTAAAGACAGGAGCACTGAGCTCTAAATCAGCATCAAAGGTGGTATCTTAATAAAAATAAAATTTAGCTGTTTAAAGAAACAAACTCCATTATCACCCATGATAGCAGTGGAACACCTGGTATCCATTTGGTCATTCCCAGAGGTGGAGATCAGGGAACATAAACTCTGCAAACATGTAAGGCCATAAAGCATAGCCAAGCTGATGAAACTCTCTAAGTGGAGTCAACTCGGGTCTCATTTCTTCTTGAGTTCACTTAGAGCCTTCTCCTAGAGACAAACAGGTTCAAGGGGCTGCCAGACCAAGTCTTCTGCATTTGCACAGGCTGCTTTTCACCTTTTAGTTGATATTTCTATAGAACAATCTAAAGAGCTTTGTGGCTCTTTAGAGCTACAAATATCTGGGGGAATTTTGTATGCTATTTGTATATATTTCCAGTGTGTTTGCTCTCAGTTTATCACTCAGAACTTCTCTCAAAGTAGTATAGAAATGATCCCGGGGGTTACACAACTGTCCTTTTACACCTACTTAATTCAGCAAGGAAATTAAAGGGATGCCAGGCAAAGGTCAGACTCTTTCACTATGTAAATAATATACCAAGTCAAATAAGAGTTTTCCAAAAGGGATAAGCCTTCATCAAAAGGCCCAAAAAACACAGGAGCATTTCACAGCTGAAGTCAGTTGATACAGGGCAAGGAATGGGACTTAAAAATGATGTGGTTCCCTGCTAACTCCCCCAGTAGATTTCCTACACCCCAACTATCCAACACCAAAAATAATAGCCTTCCCAGACAAGACAAGACACACAGATCCATATTATTCTCTTTCATGGGCCACTCTGATGAGTTGCTGCCTGGGAATTACCAACTTCTGAAGCTCCTATCATATTGTGGGATCCAGCTCATTATTCAAGAAATCGGTATCCATGGATTTTGGAGTTATCAGAGAAACCAACCATTTAAGTTGTTTTCCAGCTTATCTATAAACTGTAACTTCAAACAAATATTCCTATCTCTCTAGGAAACTTTCCAAGGATAAAGCAGGCTATAAAAGTACATGCAAAGGTCACACATTAATGCCAGGAGCTTCGAGGCTGCATCGTAAGTAGTTCATGTTTGGTGTTTTTTCCTTGTTCCTTGTCAGATTTGTGGTTTCTCACAGCACAGGAGTGTAAAGGGGAATGGCAGCTCATGTTCTCTAGTCCTCATGCTAATTCTAAAGTAGCTCCTGTTCATCTGATTAGAAGGAAAAACAATCAGCCTGGATTTAAGCTATGATTTTGTATATTTATGGCTCCCAATCTCTCGTGGAGCAAGCAAACAAATCTGACTCACACCTGTCTGGCACACACAGCAGTCAGGGACACATCCTGCAGAAACAACAGGCTCTCTGCTCACCTTGAGAAAATTCAGCACCAGGGGGCTGAGTCTGCTTGCTAAATGAGGGGGTTAGCAAATCCTAGCTGTTTCTTTTTCTGCCGTTCCAGATGCCTGGAATTTGGATTCTTGCCCTGTTTCTGCTCAGTGCAGCAGAAGGTAAGCATATGGGGTTAGTGCTTGTATTGCCTTTCTATGCTGCTGCATTTTCCACCTATTTTCTAGGTGTTACTCCACACCCTGGTGCCTTAAAGCTTACTGATTGAGGTAATGTGGTTCACTTTTCCATACAGGAATGGTGAGATGAGAGTGTGCATGTTGCTTTTCCTCTCCACTCAGGGAATTCTGCCCTAGGAGTGAGCAAGAAAAGCTGATGTTTCCTATATCAGAACAAAGCTACTGCTCTACTAAACATAGGGAATTGTTTCTTGTGCTCTTAGTAATGATGGAAATGGAAAAAAAGCCAGGGCAAGGTAGGGAGGCAGTCTAATGAGGGCATAGCTTTATATGCAGCTGAAGGTTTGTGTAGCATAAGACTTCCCATGTGCAGTCAGCTGTTCAGCACAGGCTCAATTTATTGCTGATTATCTGCAATATTTTGGCTTGGCATTAGGAGAAACTCATCAGCTGTCTCTGCCTTGGGCAAAGCAACAGCTGGGGGAGGGTAGCCAAGGATACCACAGAGGAATCCTCTGAAGATTTTGGTGATGAGCAAGAGGGTGGTTTCTCTCCTTGGGGCAAACTGCAGCCTCTCAAGGTCTAGGAAAGGGCAACTGCTGGTCTTGGCTTTCTGTAGACTGTGGGATCTTCCAGGATAGAAAAAAAAGACCCGCAGAGAAGCCATGCTATGAGTTCTGACTGCTCCATTTCTCTGCTCATTCACACAATTTTTTTTTTTTTTTTTTTTTTTTTTGGTCTTCATGTTACAGGCAGAGAAGTTTGCTTTGATAGGCTTGGGTGCTTCACAGATGATGTGCCATGGTCTGGGACTGTGGAAAGGCCAATCCACAAATTACCCTGGAAACCAGAGAGAGTAGGCACTCAGTTCCTCCTGTACACTCGAGAAAACACTGATGTCTTTCAAGTAAGAACTGTCGTGGTTTAAACATTAGTGAATCCCATGCAAAATTTGTAAATAAATTACAGTTTTCCTCAAAAATGTTAAAAATGGCCAAATTTTCACTTTATTTAAAAGACCACCTCTTCCAGCTCCTTGGCAGGGTCCCTACTGAGAACTACTGGGAAACTGAGCATTTTGGGGCAATCTTTTTCCACAGATAAAATCAAAGCATGCTGAAGTGTTGTCTGCTCTAAGATGAGTGTCAAAGCTTCCTTCGAACAGAGATACACATGAACCTTCATGTGAATTCTTGCAGATGAGTTCAGTATTGCAAAACCTTTAAATATCTGCACAGATAAGCACAGTTCATGTCTTTGCAATTTTGCAAGCTTGTTTACAGAAAGCAGATTTAAAGGTTTATTAAGTTCTTATCTATGCTAATTTAATTATTTTTAAATCTACATTAATGTAGGAGGTGTCTGCTGATAATTCAACAATCAAGGCCTCAAATTTTAATGAAAACAGGAAGACCAGATTTATTGTACATGGATTTATAGACAATGGAGAAGAAAACTGGCTGTCAGACATGTGCAAGGTAGGTACCACAGGGGCACCCTTAGTTTGCATTTATAAACACATTCATATAAATTGCCCGTTTTCTTTATTTCTTACCAATTTTTCTCATGGTATTCATAGTGATAAGAAAGCAAAAAATAGTTCACATTTTCAGATTATTTCCACATTGAAGATGCAGCTTTGCACCTTGAGGAAATCATGAGGTAAAATGCATTGAGCTTTTCTCTTTAGTGCAGTGAGTGACAAGAAGATTTGACTCAGTAAATGCCCTTTTTCTTGGTAAAAAGAACACAGACCCTGGAGTGAGATATTGGCTAGGATTGGGGTGATTCCAGAAATAACTGCAGCCTCAGCTCCTGCATCCTGTTTTCCAGGCAAGAGAAGGTTTCTAGAAGGGGAAGGGCTTTCAGGAGGGTTTGGGCTGCCATGTGGCTGCTGGAGGCTGAGCACGTGGGCTGGCCATTGCCAAAAGCAATAAAGACATAAAAATGTGCATCCAAAGGGGACCTCAAGGGAAGCATTTCGAACAAAGCTTTCAACCTAGGACTTGCTATGGGCCCTGAATGTAGTAAAGCAGTCTGCTTTATTGATTTTTGGGCTAATTCCACAAATTATTTCCTAACTCTGTCCCTACACAAAGTGCAATTCCAGCTTGTGGTTTCCCCAAGTCCTCCAAATATGCTTTTAATTGCAGCTGGAGCTAATGAAAGCCCCTGGTCATGCAGCACAGAGCAAAATACCAGTTGATGGCACTTTGAGGATAAGGTTTTTCAACCATTAACACCACAAAAATTTTTTAAAATACTGTACTCCTGTTTTACTTATGAGAACGCTATGAGAAACAATGTGAAACTAAAATCAAGGTATTTCACATTTATTGCACCCCCTTTGTCTGCTTCTTCTGATGCTAGATCAAAATAAAAGAACACCAATGGATGGTTGTTGGATTTGCCATTTAATAATTTGCTTCAAGTATCAGAAGCAGATTGATGTTTTTATAATTCTGTCTTACATTCTGCACTTTAAAACAGAGGTTTGTTTCCTGGAACTTCACAAAATCAATGAGATAGCTCACCATTTTTTTTTCAGCTTGTCCCTTAAATCCATTCGATCAATTTTCCAGGATGTAGAGGCATGAGATAAATCCTTAAATTCATCTATTATGGTAGGCTGTGTTTTATCACAATACTCTAGTTTATATTTAGAAACAAATTGGTCTCAGTGAATCTTTTCAATAAAACAGTGGAGCAAAGGGGATTGTGAATACATCAGTCCTCCTCTGTGTATCTGTTACTTGCTTTCCTTTCAGTAAAGCAATAATCCTATCTGCATTTTGATTTTTACCACTTCTAGTATGGTCACAAACACTTTTATTGCCTTTTTTGTCTTTTGTCAGTTGTTGCCTATACTTAAGCTGCTAAAACAAAATACTTTTTTGTATTTTAAGTTACCATATACTTAAGCTGCTAAAACAAAATACTTTTAGCCAAACAGTCCAGCTCAATGGAGAACAGTAAAGCTTCTGATTCTGTGGCAAAGTCTCTGTCTGCATATTCATGTTTCCAAGTACAGCCATAAATATGAAATTATCACCAACAGTTTGTACACCATCTTATAAAACCATTATTTTTCTTACAAATCTGCATCAGAAAACCACTATTGACTTTTACTATCAAAAATATTCTAATTGAATTTGAGTTGAAGTAGTACTTCTAAATCACTGAAGTGAATAAGTAGAGCTCTTATTTAGTGTACATACGAAGTTTGGAAATAAAAATTGAAAGTTTCATTATTGATATTTTTCTCCTTTCTGTAAATACAGCTCTGGGTATTTGAAATGATTACTACATTGCATATCACCCTCTTTCAGCATTGTGTGATCACACATCCATGGTACAACTTTAGTTTTCAAATCATTCTCATTCAAGTTCACACAGGATCTAGTAGCTGAGCCACAATGACCAACATGAACTGATCCTACACTGTATTTACCATGGATTTTACTTTTGTTTTACCAAACAGAGGATGCTTACTGTGGAGGATGTGAACTGCATCTGTGTGAACTGGATGAGAGGCGCAAGGTGTCAGTACACCCAGGCATCGAACAACGTCCGTATCGTGGGCGCTGAAATCGCTTATTTTGTAAATGTCCTCATGGTAAGAGTCTGCTGTTTCTAAGCTATAGCATAATACTGATTTGAAAGAACTACAGCCCTGGAACTTTCACAGATGTGGATCCAACCAGCAGAAGATATTGTCCTCTATTCCACAATCAGTTGTGCCGAAAACAAACAGCACAATTTTTTTTTAAAGGAGATTATTGTGTGAGAGCAGCAGGGCCTGCCAAGTTAAGGAGAGGAAATTCTACAAGAAATTCTCAGGGTACAGCCAAAGGTTTATTCTATAGATGTTAACAAATGCAGTGTAAAACTAAATATGCAGAAATAATGGATATGGCAAACTTCTTTCTCATTGAGACAGAACCAATGAGCTCACAAGAACACCAGAAAACCAGCTGGCAGCACTGGCTGGGGACAGGCAGGACCCACCAGCTGCCCCAGGGAAAGCTGTGGTGGACAGTGCCCAAACCCACAGGAGGAGACTCCTTTTGCAGCCAGCTTCACATGAGAAGTGAAGCTTGGTCTGAAACCTTCTCTTAATCTAATTGCTTTCAACAAAAATTTCCCATAAAAGAACTGTAACTAAAGCCAGAGAGTGTGCTGGGTCTATTAGTGCTCTGACCCACCTCTCATTCTCCACATCTGCATTGCAGCTACTGAATTCCTGCCCAAAAAGGCTGAAGGCATTTCTCCTCTCATGGCCTCCTCCAGCTTTGCGTGGTGCTTATCCTGCCAGGTGTAACTAAGAGTTCCTGCCTGGCCTATTCTTGCAAGCCAGATTCTGTGAACCTTAATGGTCCTCTGTAAGTACAGATCCTCTCAGGATTCTTGACAGAGCTGTCTGGAGTTACAACAACCTCCAAACCAAAGCAGCAGCTGAATAAGGAGGTTTGGAAAATCTATGTGCTGGACAGAACTAACTGGCTAAGAGATGCCGAAATCCTAGAGGAGCTCCTGAGCCAGCAGGCACATTAAAGTAGTTTCCCAGCCCCTTTGAAACCTTCCCTGTTGCTGACGCACAGGGGCACAGCAGTGTTTGTTTCTTGCTGTTTTGTCAGGATGAGTTTGGCTACTCCCCAGCCGACGTGCACATCATCGGCCACAGCCTGGGAGCGCACGCTGCTGGCGAGGCGGGCCGGAGGCGCCCGGGCATCGGCAGAATAACCGGTCAGTGACCCTGGCACCGCCAGCAGAGCCACCACACACACCCCACTGCTCATCTTCCCTCCCATTGCACCTGTGGGCTGCCCCACAGTCATGGGGAATGGGAATATTAATTGCAATATTATGCTCCTTTCACGCTCTACCTCAAGGAGCAGCGCTGTGCTAAGCAGAGGGGAAAGAGTGTGATAGTTATTTTGCTTGCACACACGTTACACAGCAAAAGGATTTTTTTAAACATGTCAGCACTTCCACAGGGTAAAGCTGTGGGTTTGATCTCCTTATTCATCGCTTAGGCAATGCCAAGGGCATTGTGCATTAAGCAGAGTGGCCCTTCACGGATAACAGAAAATTTTGGACATTATTAACAAAACCCTTTTCAATTGTTATTTTTCCTCGGGGATTTCAGGCTTGGTGAAATTCGGACTAATAGTCTACAAAATTCAGTTTAAAAGCAAACCCAAAATAAGCTGCCTAGGGGCAAGAGATGCAAGTATAAGGCAGCAAATTGCAAGACTTTACAAGCACCTGAAATTGCTGCAGCAATTTGGGAAGCAAATTGATTCCATTTTCTGCTAGGTTCAAAAGCAAAGCTCACTGCTTCAAAACTAGATATTTTTCCCAAAATCTGACTGGAGCCCAACATAGACAGGCAGGTTCCAACACCTCAAGCAGGGGTGGTGCTATCAGCACAAATTCCTCTGAGTACTCTCAATCAAGGGACTTTAGAAACCACACAGATGGATCAGTTACTTGGGATGCAGACATAGTAACCTCAGTTTGAGCAATATTATTAAAGAGAAGTTCAATAAAAAAAAAAAGTTCAACTAAAAAAAGTTAATTCCAAGTGCTGGCATTCAGTATTGCTGTAAGCAGATAAAGCAGTAAAATTTAATAGGCTTCCCACACATGACTTCCTGGGAGAAAAACCACTTGGTAAGAGACGGCACACATCCTCATTTTATTAATGCCTATATTGCCTAGATATAAGAAGCATAGGCAACTATATTTGTGATATTCACTGTATACAATCAATCAATGATATCTAAAACGATTCTACACCTGCATTTCTTTATTTATACATAACACTACTCTTTTTTCTCTCAGGACTGGACCCTGCACAACCTTATTTTCAAGGCACTCCAATTGAAGTCAGACTGGATAAATCTGATGCAGACTTTGTTGACATTATCCACACAGACTCAGCTCCCACAATCCCCAACTTAGGTGAGTATGCAGCTCTAGTCTGCTGATTATTTATTATTTGCTGTACTGAATTATTTATGCCCTGTGGCACTTCGGTGTGCTGATTGTTCACCGAGGCTGTTGTGCTGGGTAGAAGAGAACAAATTCACCACTTTAGTCACTAACAGCTCCTGTCCTAAAACACCAGACACAGGCAAACGTGAAGCCAGCAGCTACAGGTATGAGACAACATTAATTTAAAATATGCTTGCCCCTGTTTTAAACGCTCCAGGTTTTGGCATGAGCCCAGCCATAGGACATATTGACTTTTATCCAAACGGAGGGAAGGAGATGCCCGGCTGTGGGAAGAACCCTATTTCACAGATTGTAGATCTCGATGGCATCTGGGAAGGTAAGTGTTGTTTGCATTACCAATTCAGGGGAAGCCCTCAAAGTGTAGCCAGCTATCTTTCCTTAATTCAGGTGTTTTACAGTAGATTTTGGTGTTTGCAGCTATGGCAGCTGCAGACTCCAGTGAAGCTGCTAAAATGCTCAGAACACACCGCTTTTCCAGAGCTTATTAAAAAATAAACAAGACAAAGGGTTTGCCTCTGGAAAATGTGTTTCCTCTAAAGGATCTAATATCAGAAACAAAAGTTGCTGGAGCTGTGCCAAACATTTTGAAGGGTCTTTTAACAACACATTGCATTTTGTGTCTAATTGCCCAGCGGCAGCTCTGGTGGAATTGGGCAAAGATGTTCAGCTACTCCTGGGAGAGTGTCTTCAGCTGAAACTCTTTGGAGATAGAGCAATTAATTCGATTCCTTGTTGAGTTACAGATTACAATAAGTTGCATTGAAGTGATGTCATTTTGTCTATTTTTAGGCAGCTAAAAAAAGATGGGCACATATAGTTGCTCAAATACATTGTTCTTTGTTGTTTTACGTGGTTCTCTAAGTATCAGAGGATTCCTATGTATCTGTCTAAAATTAAATTGCACATCAGATTAAAAAACACAAATAAAAACCCCCGAAGATTTCTGCTGTGGAGATTTTTCAGTACATTATCTGAGGTCTTTCTTACACTACTGCAAACAACTTAAACTCTTGTAATCCATTATCCTATTTGTGATAGCTAGCCTTTTGCTCCAGGTTTTATTCAATGCAGCTAGAGGCATTACTTTTTCATTCTAACCCCTTTTTTTTTTTTATATAGAGTAAACTTGTTATCAATAATGGGGAATTAAAGCACAAAGAAATAACTGCATAGTATATGGTCTTCTTTTTAACCTGAAGTCAGGAAAATACAGGCAACACAAAGGAAAATAATATATTCATTATTTTAATTTTAAGAGTCTCCCTTTCTTAAGTACCCTCCAAATAATAATAATTTTGTTTTGAAGCCCTCAGCTGGAGCAAATCAGCACTGCCCTAGGAAGTTCACTGTTAAATACTTTTCATTTGGTTTTCCTTTGTTATGGTAATGAAACTGTTGCCTACAAAAGACCTGCTTCAGGCAGCTCTGGTTTCTATTGTTAAACTCGGTCAGATTACTTGAATAAGTGTTTTTTGAGGGGCAGGGGCTGGGCTGAGCTGCACAGTCGGTCTCCACAAAGCTTTTCAAGTTTGCATTTTATACCTGTTGAGCCGGTGACATTCCTTAGGGCGTGAGTGCATCAGAAGCAAGTAAGGTTCCAAAATCACCTTTGATTCTCCAGGAATTGTGATGAGGCTTTTGAGGAGGAATGATGCACGTCAGGGACGTGGGTTTCTTTCCTTGAGTGGGAAGAGAAAAGGAGAATTAACCTGGGGGTATCTTCTCGTAGGAACTCGGGACTTCATGGCTTGCAATCACTTGCGGAGTTACAAGTATTACTCGGACAGCATCATCTACCCTGACGGATTTTTAGGCTATCTTTGTCCTTCATATGAGCTTTTTCAAGAAGTAAGTATTTCTCAGAGCTTCGGGATGGACCCTATTGAAAACATTATTAAAAAGAAATCCTTCGACTAATTTTTTTTTTTCCTTGTCTGGCTGGATAATGTTATTAATAGATATATTTGTTTTCACCAGGGAAACTGTTTCCCATGCCCAGAAGAGGGATGCCCAAATATGGGTCACTATGCAGACAAATTCAAGGACAAGGTTAAAAATGATTTCACGAAATTTTACCTGAATACTGGAGAGGCCAAGGATTTTCCTCGTGAGTTTCGAATGCTTCCATTGCTACATACTCCTCCTAAAAATTTTATTTTCCTATTTGACAGTTAACTTTAGCAGATGAATAGATCTCATCACAGTGCAAAATCTCTTCTGTTCCTTGTGCTTTTTCCTCTTTTGCCCCACCACTAGTGCCAGTTTGAGGCCCTACAGGACAAGAAAGTTCCTCACAAACTCTGGAGTCTAGTGGAGGGTACTGAGATGTTTAGAGAATTGCAAGGTTCAAGGAGCAGGGAGGAGAGACAATGCTCAGAAGGTGCAGAAAGGGAATTTCTTATTAAATAGTATGAAAATTACATCACAATGGCAGTGGTTAAATGCAGCAAGAGGGGCCCAGGGGAGCTGGGAAATCTCCATCACTGGAGATGCCAAAAACTCCATTTGAAAAAGGCCAAGAACAAGCTGATCACAGCTGGTTTCAGAACTGGATGGACAAGATGAGCTCCTTTACATCCTCAGCTATCGCAAACACCAGCTCTCACAACACACTGCTTAGTTTGCCCTTGTAAGCACAAATCAAGAATCCTCTTGAGCTCCTTTTGCTAATTGCACTCTAAAAGGAAGTTCCCACCCACAAAAATTATTTTCCTGGAGCTTCAGAATTCTTTCGTGCTGCTTGAATTCTACATCTGTATTTATCCCTAACACCCCTTTATTTCCAGCTCCACCCTGTATGAAAACCCTCATGGTCAAAATGCTGAGATTTGTGTCGTATTTACTACAATATAGACTAGTTTTGTCTTTTTTCTCTCCCAGAAAGTAACACAAATGTCTTCCATTTCTCATGTTGATCCCATTAGGACATAACAATGGATTGACTCACTCATGTTTTGTATTTTCTGCTCTCAACTATACTGTACAGACACACCAAAAAAAACCAAAAAAAACACCTACAATTTAATATTTTGGGGACTGTTTTTCCCTGGGTACAATCTAAGTCACTGTATTTCTTCTGTGTAGTTTGGAGGTACAAAATAAACGTGACCCTCTCTGGAAAGAGCAAAGTAAGAGGATATGTAAATGTTGCCCTGTATGGCACTGGTGGGAACACAAAGCAGTACCAGATCACCAAGTAAGTTAAAAATGCACTAGAAAATAAACTTTTCTTCTAGAACCCTTAATTTGTATTTGTAATTAATAATTCTGTTTAAATTGATCTTATGAAGAGAAAAACAACAAGGCAGCATATCAGGCCCACCTGCCTTTGCTACCTCTGAGAAAGAGTGGTTTGGGATGACTTACATCAGAAATCTAGCAAAAATGTTGCTGCCATATAATAGGATAAATGTTATCTTTCTGGTAAATTCCTACCCTCTTGCCACCACAGCAAAGCCTTTGACAAGACTGGTAATTAACTGTAAATGTTGCCATGCCTCACATCCATAAAATGCTGTTTTTCACAGGGGTACCCTCAAACCAGGTAACACTTACACAGCCTATATTGACGCAGAAGTTAATGTAGGAGAAGTTACCAAGGTTAAATTTCTTTGGAACAACAACTTGATAAACCCAACTCTTCCTAAACTGGGAGCCTCTTCTATCACAGTAGAATCTGGACAAAACAGAATAGCGTAAGTATACCCATTGTGAAAATCTTGAAAGTTACTGGAGAAGATAGGTGACAAAATTATGAGTGGAAGCCTTTTCACAAGAAAAGCTATTTAAGTCATTTAAGGGAAAAGATTCTCAAGGAAACCTTTTCATGCCTTCTTTTCAAGATACTCACTGTTCATTCATAGTTCTATTCACTACTACTTCAACCCTTTACCTTAAATAGCCTCAAAGAGAAACTGAAAATCTCTCCAGGCTTTAGAAGAGCAAACTTTCTGTATAACCCTTTGGATGAGAAAAATTAATGCTGGGTTGGAATGTCAGCATCGTTCTTGTTAAACTCCTACTGTCCCCAAAACCAGATTATCCATGGGTCTGATTCACTCTCAGTTGGAACCAGCCAAGTATTCCATTGGTATTGGTGATCCCTAAGGTCATGACTGACTAAAGAGGATGGTGATAATAAACCCACCCTTCCAATGAGGAACCCTAACACTTGGAGCCTGCACTGAAAGGGTACATATAAAGCTGAGGGAAAGAGGCTAAAATTGATTTCTCAAGACTTTGTGAAGTATGGCTTGGATGTTCAGATTATAGAAGCATGGTTTTACTAATTTTCCTGGACTTTTAAACATGAATGCCTTCATTTCCTTGAGCAGTTACTTTATTTTATCCACATCATGAGTTGGTATCTAGAACAGGAGGTACAGTTTAAATTTTATTTATTCTATTTTCAAATGCACAGTTAAAATTCCATCACTTAAAAGGCAACATGGGAGGTGGAAACAGTTTAAAGGAAAGTGAAATTATTACAGCCAAGCAGCACTTGAACTCCCCTTAAGCAGAGGTCCTAAGTCTGGTTGTAGTTTCTAGTCACCAAAGCATGTTGCTGACAAAGTGTATTTCTGTAGATAGGAGATCACCCTTCTACTGACTTGTGGCCTTTGCACAAGGTGTTGTGGCCATCTTTATAGAGATGGTAGCACAAAATCTGGGGGAAAACCCCAGAATTATAACACTAAAGTAAGGCGGGCAATGAAGCAGAATGAATACAGTCTATCAATGCTTTCCCCAGCAGTAATAGTTCAAATTTAGAAGCTCAAAGTTTGTTCTGTTCTGTTGCCTCAAATGGCAAATCAGGTTGTGTTACCATCAAATAAAATCCACTTGCATAATTTCAACAACTGCTGGCAGCTCAAGGTGCTTTTATCTCCTTTGTCCTCAGGTACCGTTTCTGTGGTTCTGAGACTGTGAAGGAGGATGTCCTGCAGACTCTGACTGCTTGCTAACAGCACACTGGGATCCCCAAATCTTGCTACCAATAAAGGCAATTATTCTGCAGCTCTAATACTGATGGTGTGTGTTGTTTGGGGTGGGCTTTTGCTGGTTTGGGAGGCAGAGGCTAAGTCTGTGGATACCTCCCTATAGACAGAATTTTTAGAGTGGCCTTAGGAGTGAATGTGCCAAAACATGTTGAAGAATTCCCCTGCTTTCAGCCTGTTCCAAAATAATTTCAAACTAGAGGAAAGGGGGCAGGTAACAGAAACAAATTCATTTCTGTCCCCATGTAATCCTGCCTCATGTCCCTCAGCGTTCTGCTGGCCAAGGGGGCTGTGTCTCCTCTGCTGCTAGAGGAAGCTCGTCCTCACTGCTAAACCTCACAGAACTGCTGGGGATCTGCTGCTACACACATCTGCTGCTCCTGGGGACCTTCTCTCACTTTCTCCTGATGTTCCCCAGACTGGGGCAGTCTGCTCCTTCTGTCTCTCTGGGCGACCTTTCCTCACCCAGAACACCCTATCCTGAAGGACATCAACCCCCTTGCAAGGCTTTAGATTCTGTGTAGTGGTGGAGGTGGAAACCAATTTATTTTGTGTTGGAGCACAACTTTTCTAGTATAGAAAAACAAACAAACAAAAAAAAAGCTGTGGGTTTATTTGGGTTGGATTTTTTTTTTGTTTGGTTGGTTGTGGTTTGTTTTTTTTGTTTGTTTGTTTGTTGTCTTTTTTTTTAATTGAGTGCATTCTGCCAGCTCTCACAGGGTGATGGAAAGGAGATAGGGGATGTAAATAATAGACAAAGAAACATCAGCACTGGAGATTAGCAACCTATGGAGATGCTCTGGGCTGAAGTAAGTTCTTTATATAAAAGCCAAAGTGCTCCTTGCTTTAACACAACTGAAGAGAATATCCTCCAGCAATTTCAGATAGAGACATGAAGGCTTGCTTTTATGCTTAAAAACCTTCTAAACTGCACTTCTGCTTCTTGCTCAGATTAAAAGGTACTATTTGATTTAGATTAGATGTATGGAAGAGTACTGTTTTACAGGAGTGCTAAAACTGGCCCAGGTTGCCCTGAGATGTGTTAGGTGCCCCATCTCTAGAAATATTCAACACCAGGCTGGTTGAATTTGCTGAATTCCTGGAGTATTCCCCCTGCTACATTCCTTCTCTCCCTGTGCAGCTCCTCAGGCAGCAGCAAGTGCAGCAAGCACACAGCAGAGCTCTCTTTGTATGTTTTCCTCCCAGCCTGTGCTGTCCAGAAGGACACTTAAAAGCTGGCATTTATTTTGTCTCCAGTTTTTCCCAAATGTGGTCTGTCTTATAGTGGTAGAATAATAGAGTCAGGCCTAATAAATACAAGGATTTGAGTTCTTTGTCCTGCACCAGGCTCTGCTAAGTCCAGCTCTGAGTTGCTCCTGTAATACCTTCCTTGGCTTTCCATGGCTGCACAGCTGCAGGTGGGCAGGAGGAAGAGGAGCCAGCCAGAGGAACAGAGGGTTTCACACTTCATCCAGCCCTGGGAGGAACACACAAACCCTCTCCAGGAAGATAAATAGTTCTGGGTTTATGAACAGCCATGGACAGGGGAGCTGGTGTCTGATGCTGGGTTTTCATGTAGCCCCCATCTCTGTGGCATGGCCTGCTTCCTCCTGCCTTCCCTGTTTGTCCCTCCTGGGATTTGGTGTCCTGATCTCAGTGCCTCCTGCTGAGGAAACCTCAACAGGGTTATTAACTTCCTAACACTGCGGAAGAGTTTCTCCTTTGTCTTTTGTTCCATTATCTTGGAATAAGCAGGTTCTTGCCTACACAATTGTTTTGACAGTTATGATATTCTCAGCATTATCCTTTGCCATAGCCACTTCAGCAGCCCGTGTAATTTTAACAAACACCTAACAGAATCAAGACGTTAAAGTTGACAATAGCATAATAAAAAATCTCCTTTTAATAATGAACTGGAGCTGCCGTCATCCTGTTTTAGCAGAGTAAAATCTCTCCCCCCTCCCGAACACTTTACAAAGCTATTACATAAAATGCAATGTTAAATGAACAACAAATTACTTTCCCTTTAGCTAGCTTTTAATGCTAATGGTGCTATTTATTCCTGACCTTTTGAAATATTAGATTTTTTAAATGACAACATAAAAAGAATTCTTGTTTGAAAACGCGAGCGACTTTAAACCACATGTTATTACTTGTAAGTATAGCATGCACATGCATCATTCATTTCAGTGTCCCATTTAGGGCTAATTGGTATATATTTCAGTTGACATATATTGTTCTCCTGCAAACGTGTCAAATTCCTTAACCATGGCAGTGACAAAAGCAGAACGCTTGAGATATATAAATTACGCTCTTTACCATATAATCATTCTTATCTATTGGGAATAGTATTTGTGACAAACTATGGTCAAAAATACACAGCAAATTGATTTTTTTTTCTTTAAACTTTAATATCACACCATTCACGGCAAGTCTTTGATTGCATCCTTAAATGTAGAAATGTTTTGATTTTTAGCTGCATCGTTTTGCAGCTTTTGAAAAGCTCACTTTATTTATTAAAGGAAGAGTAGCACAGCGAGGATCTTAAAATGTATCTTTTGTTATCAGCATAAGAAAAAAAAAATGGGCTGTAATTGTGGATATAGAGTGAGTAATTTGGTGAAAAACGTTTTGTGCTATAGTTAAGGTTTTATAATTCCTGCCAGAAATTACTATTATTTTGTTGGTGGGCAGCATTGCAAGAAGAATTTTAAATATTTTAAATATGGGAACAACTTGGGCCACGTATTTCCATTACATTTTAGACTACCGCATGTGATTCATTTTCTCCCTTTATCACAAATCATCTTAGAATTAGAGAAAAAAAAAATAAAAATTGAAAATTTCATGTGACTCTCATTATTACTACAATATAGCAGAGCTCATTGTTGTCTTTAGACAATGCTGTCCCCAGTCATTACTTTGCTCCATAAATCAGTAGCATAATGAGGTTCTATCTTTCAAGAAATATTTGAGCGTATCTTAATTTGGCATTGATGAATTCTCCTTCCTGAACCTCTGGAGGGTTTTTTTAATCTAGTTTGTCATGTTGGAGCTTTCATCACCTAGCCCCAGCTGACAGTGTTATGGCTGTGTATTTATTTCCATACCTTCCTGGGATGTGTCCTCAGAGGTTGCAAATAGGAATTTATGATCTTGTGCCTTGAAGGCTGTTTTTGCTTGATTGGAGTTTAATTCCCAAACTGTTTTTTCCCACCCTCATCCTCCAGAAATATATACTATGTGTGGTTGTATTAAAGTGTGGAAAAACAAGGTTAAATTTGTTAACTTCTTGTTGCTGATATAAACCGTGAGCAGTTTATTTGACAAAAGAGATATTCACTGGAAAAAAATACCATTTTTTTGCCAAAGAAATTATATAATAGGTCCAGATACTATTTTTCTTCTAAAATTTAAAGACAAGAAAAAGGTAAGTCAAAAAAGGTCAGCAGAGGGCAGAGAAAGAAAGGAGAAGGTTGACGTGATGCTCCACAGCTCTGAATCAAAAAATACTAATAGTGCCCTACATGACACTCCTAAACTGTGTTTGCAGAAAAACAAGAAGCAAAGTACTTTTTAAATTAGTCTAAATGTTGTGTTTAATTACACAGTAACAACTGGCTGGCTACTGCACTTGCTATCACTTTGATGACCTCTATTTTGTCAAACCCAAAGACAAAAGTTGCATTCAAGTCCCTCTTTGCACTCTGGCCCATGGAATTATTGTTGCGTGTTTATCCTAAGAAAAATATTACCTTTAATTGCATTAAGTAGATAACGGCTTCACATCTAACCAATTAGGGAGGTGAAGGGGAAAAAAATGGATCTAAACCTCCACAGTAATGCATTTGTTCAGCTAATAATTCACATTACTGTAATTTAGCATATTATTTATATAACCTAAGTGTCAATTCCACATGAAAAATATCAGCAATGAACATTACTGGTGGCTTGGGTGCCTCAGCTTGGGGTGTGCAGTTTCAGAGGATGGATTCTCTGGGAGTCCCGATTATCCTCTTTGAAAAGTGAGTGCAGCCCTGAGTGCAGCACCATTTCTTGCTCAGAAGAGGTTCTTCATGGAGGAGGAATATATATATACAGTCATCACCTTAATTATATGGGATGCAAAACACAGGATGAGCTTGTCCTGCCTGGGGTGATGGAAGAGCAGGAGCCACCCCTTCTTTCTCCCAAAACGAAGCACACTGTCCTCTGGCTGCAGCCCAAGTCACACTACAGAAACTACCACAGGAGCTGCTCAGAAAGAAATTAGACAAACTCTCTGTTCAGACTAACCTTTTCTGTATTGTCTTTAATTCTTTACACAAACACCAGCCTCCTCTCTTTTGATGAGGAGGAAAAAAAATCATCAGGAGGGACGTGCACAAGGGTTCTCCACCACTCTCAGCTCTCACCAAGGTGCTCTCAGTCCCTCGGGGGATTCTGTGGCCTGACCTCACATTTCTCTCCAACCTTTCTCATCTCCTCCTTGCTTGCAGATAGGAAATCAGGGCACCTGACCATTTTATAGCCCTGCAGAGGTATGGCAAATTCAGCAGGGAGTCGGAGAGGATGTGTTTGCCCCTCTGCCATCACAGAAGGCAGGGAAGTCTTGGCAGGGGAGGCTTCTCCCTTTCATTAAGCCCAGACCATAGATCATCAAGCTTTTGCTTTAATTCCAAACGAGCCAAAATATCTTTGCTGGGTCATGAAAACCAGCCTCTCATCCCCTCCCACTGAACCTGAATTAGGAAGCCTCTCCCGGTGGCCGTGACAGAGGGGACATTGCTCATGTGCCCTCCCTTGCTGGGTCTGAAGGGATGGCAACACAGCAGCAGAAAGCAGCATATTTGTATTGCAAAGGATCCTCATAAGGTAATAAAAACTTCCTTTTAACCAGGGAAAAATATTAAGGTGGAGAGCAGAGTGACTGCACCAAAGAATAATTCTCCTTTTGACCCACAGAGAAAGAGGTGCCTAATAAAAGTATATGAGCACGGACAGTGTGAAGATAACTGTCTGATCA